GGGGGGGAGAAATCATGGGTTTCCAATGCTCCCAAGGCAAAGTGGGGATAAGGGGGCTGGAGTTGGTAGAATAAATTTAGCCCCCCCCCCAAAAAAAAAAATCCTATTTTTAAATTGAAATTATAATTATTTATTATTGCATATACCTGAATGTAGTAATGCGCCAAATATACAGAGAAATGCTGGGAATTTAAAAAAAAAAAATTTAAAAAATCAATTGTTGCCAAATATTTATCTTTTGAAACAATATATTAATAAATGTATCTATTGAAACCATCATAAAATTATTAAACTAATTTAAATAGTTTCAACTTCTTCATTAGTAAATATTTTTATTGTCCCAAAACGTTTTAATTTTTCAAATATATAATCATCCCGGCTAAATGGTTAAAGAAGCAGTTTGTCAATTATGGTTCGGCTTACTTTTTAAAATGTAATTGCAATTATTGAAGACTTATTTTTTTACATTTGTTTTTATTTAGTATCTCTTATAATAGTCATCGTACTAGGTGTTCAATCCTTTTAGCCCACGATCTCCAGGGACCCTTACAGACCGGACGTACTACAATCACTATCTACGGACAGTGGATGGACAACCAAGTGTCCCTAAGTTGACTGCACCCATTGACTCAAATGCCTTAATCTGAATTAGTATCATAACAAGTAAAAAAAAGTACAGTGCAAACACGATCTGATCTGGATCAAAGTCATAATTGCAGTGTAGAGTTTCTACAAGACCAAAGGAAAATAATATTTTTGGGGTAACAGTTCCCGAGGGCCAGCGTTAAAACAAAGGATGGAAATAAAATTAAGATATTTTAGAGAGCTTTTGAACTTAGACTAATAATAAACTGTTCTTATGCATAAAATCTCAATGACAATATTTAAAGCTTCTCCTGGGGTCCCAGGTTCACGTGAAATTCTAAGGCATACTGTTTTGGGTGTTTAAGTTAAGGCCTTTATTATTCATTATGTCACATGTGTATATATCACTTCAGCTGTGAGATAGGCCTTTAAAATTGCATCTGTCCCTTAGGCCTACAGAATTCCAAAGGTCAGACAGGCCCATGTTATTCCATCTGTCACATAGGCCAGCACTGAGAAGTCATTCTACGTCATCAAAAGAAGATATCTGTCTCTCAAATATCGCCCTTAGATGACCATCTCAAAGTTCATGCCTTTGGTTCCACTTCGCTTGTGTTTTCGACCTAATATTTCAATTGAACTGGATCAGAGTAAAAGGCTAAATATACTGCAAAGTATTTACATATATGGAATTTCACTATCTTTTAATAAAGAGTAGGAATTACTATTTATATTTTGTTTTAAAAAAAAGATAGTTATGCATTTTTTTTCTTTTTTGCAGAAGATTCCGCCCACTAATAAATAAAGAGAAAAAAAAATGCCACTAGTGGTTGACCGACACCCCCCTTAACCTCACTTCCTTCGCAACCGATTTAATAATTTAAATCTGAAGGGAAAATATTGAAATTATCAAAAAAAATTATAAATTCCTTTTATTATTATTTTTTTTTGCTAATTGTTTTATTTTGACAAATAACAACACGTTCCATTATTTTGTATTTTGATTTCTTGTTTTTTTTTTTTTAAATTTCCAATTTATTTTCAGCTTCCCATTACAAAACAGCTCGGAAATTAAATACGCTGACTTGATTACTAATAAATATATGTTTTTTTTTTCTCCAAATCTTCAAAATTAAATTACGAAAATGTATTTATACAAATTATAAGACCTTTTGTAAGTAAATAAAATTAGAATTTCAGTCTTTTCTGTTGAAAGTATGAAAAAAATTATTTTGTTTCTTTTTTTTTCTTTTTCTTTTTAGAAAAACGACAATTTAAAGACTGCCTTTTATTTCAACATTTAATTATTAATAAATGAAGTTGGCTAAAGCAAACAAATAAATACATTTAAAAAATTCCGTCTTTTTTTTTCTCTCCATTTTACCTTTTTTTTTTTTTTTTTTTAAATTTTTATGACTTTCTTTTTTCAAACATCTCAGTTCAGTTCCTCCGAGTCCTCTTATTATGTAGGGATACCTCTGAAAGAGATCTTGAAACACAGAATATATATAAATATATATTTATAATCATTTCTTAAATACATTCGCTTAAGGTGTGTCCAGCTGGACACCCCGCCCCCCAAACCCAACTCAACATGTTTTATGTTAAAAGTACTGAAAAAAAAACTGTTACTCAGATAGCTTTCATGCGTGCCGTCTGAACTCCCTTCAGGTAGCATTTGTTTTTTTCTTTAGGCGGAGACGACAATTATATTAAACAATGAAGAGCCACGGTTATGGTGTAAGATTGTCAGAGGACTGTTTATGAGACTGTTTGTGGGCTTATTATTATTTTTTATAAACGGCAGGTATATATTATAGAAATGGAGAAGTTAACTTTTTTTTTTGTTATGGTAACACATGGGACCCACCGAAGATTTTTTTCTAAATAACCTGTAGATGTAAAACAAAAAAAATGCTCCCGGTTAAGTCCTATTAGCTTTATACATATATTATATTTTTCTGTTCCATTTCTTTTCATAGGTCATATATTTTAATTGTTTCTCCACCCCCTCTACCCCCCTCCCGCCCGTCACCACCACGCTAGTGTATCCTGGATAAATGAGACTGCTAGGCATACGTCGTATTGGTGACGGAAAAGGGAAAGGTTTACCGTTGAATCATACCTGACTATCGCATGCTACACCCTGCCCAACCTGTTTAACTCAGAACCTTGCCCCCGAAACGAAGAGATCAACGACACCAAGAATGTCGCCCCCCCCACCCCACGCTCTGGGGCGTCTATCACAGAGACGTTCATTCTGATCGGCTTACTTACGTTCAAGAGCGTTGGCAGTTGATAGCACAGTTTTAGGACTTGGTCAGGTGCGCAACAAGCAGGTAAGGATTTTTTTTCCATCCAATTCCATATCATTCGAAAAAACTTCTTGAAAGTTATATAAATATACTAAACATACCAAGAACATTTATAGAATCCAAAAAAATTAAAGGGAAGAAATCGAAATCCTCAAAAATGTTTTTGATAATTCACCGACAATAAGAAAATTGCATAAAAATGTATAAAATGTAAGTTAAAAAGTCCATAAGCTTTTAGATTCCAATATATTTGTCCATAAACATTATATATGCCACTGAACCATATATATGCCTCTAAACAATATATACGATCCAGAGCAATATATATGTCCCTGATCAATACAAGTACCCCTTAACAATATATATATATAAATATATATATATATATATATATATATATATATATATATATATATGACACAGAAAAACATACAGCTTTAAGGAAAATTATATATTTAATATCCCATCCACCCCATCCCCCACCACTAAACTCTTGTTGATGATTGAACTTCCAAAGTGAACGATTTTCGAACATGAAAAAAATTCTCCACCACTGCCATTTTAAATGTTATTTCAAAGAGAGGCCCATGTGGTGCCATGCCAAAAGTTTCCGTATTAATTATGCCTGGGGAAAGGGGCCGAATAAAATCCATTCAGATAAATAATGGAGTTCAAAATTTTAACTTTTCTTATTAAAATAGGTATCATAACGCAGGAGAAATACAATTATTTTGAAATAGTTTGAGTTTTCTAAATATTCTCTTACAGGCCCGAATGGAGTGGATATTATTACTTTTAAATCCGGTGATTCAATATGGAATTTGAAGTTTGGGGCTAAGGAGCTCGACCTCTATTGATAGTCTAAGCCTACTGTTATTTATACAAATAATTTAATTAAAAATCATATCGAAAGAGTGGTTATCATGAATTGAATTCGGTACCATTCATGATTTGTATGTCTATAACCCATCCAGAGTAGGCTTATTTAGTTTGGGCTCGATCCATCCAAATCATGCGATACCCTGCCTGTGATCTTATAACATAAGATAGCCCAAATAAAAAAAAGTTTGATGGATCGATTATATGAAAAGGGAATCTGAGGTTCACAAAGAAACAAAAGTAAACAATGTCCGTATAACAAGTTTAATTTATTTTTTTCAACTTTCTCTGACACATGACTCACACCCATATCACTTAAGTAAATCAAGTCAGTAATTGCAGAAATAACTTTTGAGTGACGTCAGTCTATCCCAAGACTTATCTCTGATAACACGCTCGCAACGCTTTTCTTGCCATTTTTTTTTTTTGTTGCTAAGGCAGTGATTCTCAACTTTCCTAATGCCGCGACCATTTAATACAGTTCGTCATGTTGTGGCAAACCCCCCAAGCATAAAAATTATCTTCGTTGCTTCTTCATAAATATGTGTTTTCCGATGGTCTTAGGCAACACCTGTGTAAGGGTCGTTCGACGTTAAGATGGGGTCGGGCCCCACAAGTTGAGAACTGCTGAGCTAAGTTAGGGGATTTAATAGTTTTTTCAGACATTTGCATTAACTAGGTTTAGTGATCGGAAACTCGCGGCTGTCTAGGAAGAAAGATGTCCATCGTTTTGCAGTAAATTATATTGTATAATTGAAATTTAACTATTGTGCCCCAACCAGGTAGCGTCTTAAATATGTTCTTACAAAAAGTAATCTAATAAATTTTTCATAAATGGCAGCTGACCCGAACGAAGCATGGCGATTAACCCTAAGCTGGGATAGCAAACAAAAAAGAACCTTGCGATCAAAATATGCAAAAAAGAACGTTAATACAAGAGCTAAATAAACACCTTCGTTTTCTGGCCTTGAAAGCTTCAGCTTAGAAATAAAAATAACCGAAAGGATATGTGCCATGTTTACTTTTGATTGGGTTATGGCGGCTAATTTTATTTATGGAAAACAATCGCAAAAAGCTCAAACATATACACACATACACGCAAGTACACTTAAAATATTCTCAATACACACACACACACATACACGTTTAGGGACTTTTGTGAGAGATAAAAATGTTAAACACCTATTTCCGTAAATGGTTTTGATTCCGTAAGCATACCCCCCTTCTCCCCTCCCCTCAATCAATGGCGTTCCTAACGCAGATAATATAGTGTTTTGTTTTCATTACCAAACAGATGCAGAACCAAAACAAACCTTTTCATATCAACCTTGCATCGCAGAAAGCGTCACGTATTGCACCATTGGCCACATATTGGAATGGCTCTTATCTTAAAGTCATTTCCAGTCCATACGAATGCTGGGAGATCTGACGATTACCTAGCTATTCAAAGTAAAAAAAAAGAAACTCATACTGGCCTAATGGTAAAACTACATGGTTGGTTAGAAAGGTCAATATTTGCTTGGTATTTGGTCCGAGAATGACTCAATCCAGCGATTAAATAAACATTGGCGTGGGGAGGGGAGGGGGGGGCCCATTCCGTCACCTTTGAAATATACAACTCGTTGAAGTTTTCAGTTTTTATTATAATCATTAAACACTCAAACTGCTGTTATTATTTTTCCTGGGGACAAAAAAAAAAAGAAGACTTTTAATGAGTTTGAATTTTTTTTTCAGAAAATGCAAGGACTCCAAATATTCAAATTTTCTATTAAAATTCTCATCAATCCAGTATCCAATGTATATCTTGCAGCTTCATAACAATGACCACCTACAAAATGGACTACGCGAACCGGGGCACAGCTGTCATCATAAACAACAAGAACTTCTCCAAGTTGAAGGCAAGGGACGGCACTGACGTGGATGCCGCCAACATGGAGATGCTGCTGACGACGATCGGGTTCAAGAGTATACGACGTAAAAACGACCTCACGGCCAAACAGATCAAAGATGAACTTAATGAAGGTACGATCTGCGGTTCCAATCTACGATTAATGAAATAATGCCTTTTACTAATCAATTAATTTTTTTTTTTCATTTCTATGATGTATATTTTGTTGTGTAACAATTTAAGTTAGCTACATACCCTTAAAAATATATGAGAACGCGTATATCTCGTATATCTCCAAAATAAAGGGTAGAGAAGCACATCTACTGTTTACAAGAAGCCTAACTTAGACGAGAGTCTTCGATTTAAATGTCGATAAGGAATTAATTCATGTGACTTTATTGAACTGATGGGGGTTTTATCTTTTGAGGGCTTGACAATACTGTGCACTTGAAATGTAACGTGGCTTTTTAGAGTTTGTTGGGGTATTCATTTCCAGCATCGAGACAAGACCACTCATCCAACGGTTGCTTCGTCTGCGTTATTCTAACCCACGGCGAGAAGGATTTCATCTACGGCACGGATGGGCCACTGGCCATAAAGGATGTGATCCTACCGTTCACGGATGAGAAGTGTCCGGCGTTGGTGGGGAAACCTAAGATATTCTTTATACAAGTGAGAAATAGACGTAGATATGTATATATTTTTTAAAAAAATTAATTACTGTTTATTTTTTAGTTCCTTGTTATGTTAATATGACCCATTTTGATGGTACTTGTTTTGTGTTTTTTTTTCTCAAAGTGTGTTAATGTCAATGTTAATGAAAAAACGACGACAACTTATTGAAATGAATCCTTACATGTCATTCTAATGGAGAATTGTAAATATACATTACATATTGGACCTTTAGTTCTAACTTTGATACACAAAATGTAATTTGAGCTTGTGTTTAATTTGGCTTCTATAGTTGCACTACATGATACATACGTAAACTTTTTTTTCTCAATACACTTACGTATAAAGTTATCGGTCCCAAGTCATCAAAAAACAACAACAACAACAACATATCGTACACTGAAAACAAAAATGTGTTATTCAACTAGTGTTATAATATTATAAATGAGTGGATGTGCGCAGCATAGCAAGCAGAATGATCCGGATGTGGAGTCCCGTAGAAACATCGCACTCACTCTACAACTCCGGCTTTTCAAGTGACGCCCCTGGCTGCATAGATGCCTGTTAAATTGTTAATATTCTTAATCCTTGGACATGCTTTCAACCAAAGTCAAACATACACATATACACCATGTGGTTTTGTTTGTTTGCTTTTTTAAATGTTCCTATCAATGTCAAGACATCAGCCTTGTCAAATTAGCAACTGACATACCGATAAAATCGCACATTATATTTACTGGAAACAAATTTCAACGACTGATTAATGGCTCCGTAACACTCCAAAAAGACACAATCAAATGGTAGGATATTTTTTTTGTTCAAAGTGGTAATCTCTTTCTTCACTCTCCTCCGCTCAGGCGTGCAGGGGTGGTGAATATGATGAAGGCGTGGATGCTGTGGACTCCAAAAAAGAACCGGAAGTTGTGGAGACGATCATTCCTTTCCATATCGATTTCTTTATAGCCTACTCGGTTACACCAGGTAATCATATCTTTCAAACAGTCTTAGCTACTGTTTTTTCACATTTAACATTATAACTTAATGTAATCGATCTTTTTTTTTTGTTCCCTTGCATCGATGCATTGCTATTTCATATAGTCGATACCTTATTACTTAAGATAATCGATAACCATTTTTTCAACGCATACGTTAAGCCATTTCCATAAACTCTCGGAAAAGAAGACATCTCTTTTTTTTTTCAATCTTTTTTTCTCACAAAGTGATATTTATTAAAACATTATACTAAAATTCCATACGGAACTTTTATTACCTGAATCCGCATAAAGAAACATAGCCCCTGTGGAAAGAAATGGTTTCATTGTCTTTGCTGTAAGCATGTATGTATTGAAATTGTTACATTTGGAATGTCGTCTAAGAAAGACGTGAGCCAAAGCTTTTCGAGGTACCTCCACCTAACCCCATCTCGCGGGGTCCTCCCTCCTTTTAAATACGAAGGGTACCGGGAGATAGTCCCCTTTGGGATGCTTCGCCCTATCGACCAACCATCCTGCTACCCCAGGAACACCACGCCCTCTCCAGCCATCCGTGGGGGGGGGGGGGGCTTGATCCTTTATTTTCGGGGGGGGAAAAGAGACAACTTATATGTGAAGCAGGCATTAATAGTTTTCTTTTTGTTTGTTTTTAACACTTCTTAGTCCTATCGACCAACCATCCTGCTACCCCAGGAACACCACGCCCTCTCCAGCCATCCGTGGGGGGGGGGGGACTTGATCCTTTATTTTCAGGGGGAGAAAAGAGACAACTTATATGTGAAGCAAGCATTAATAGTTTTCTTTTTGTTTGTTTTTAACACTTCTTAGGCTACGCATCTTGGCGAAATGGGAAAATGGGTTCCTGGTTCATCCAGGCCATCGTCGAAGTCTTCAGCAAGAAATGGAAAAGCCTTGACCTCATGACCATGATGACCCGGGTCAACAAGAAGGTGGCCTACGACTTCGAGTCCTACTCCAAGGACCCCGACCGTGACCGGAAGAAACAAATCCCGTGCATCGCGTCCATGCTGACGAGAGACGTCTTCTTCGAGCTTTAGTTTCCTATAAAATAATAATGGTGTTTCCTATAAAATAATAATGGTATTCACTTTTATTGAATAGCTAAATGGCACTAGACGGTCATGACAGCTCTCACTACCCAGATTTAATTGGGAAGCCCACTGTTGACTTCATATTTTAGAGCTTGTTTGACCTGGCCTAATTGTGGTGAATGGGTTCTGTTACAAACAACAGACAAAAGTGAGAGTGTTCAAGAAAGTAACAAAAAAAAAAATGTCGCGAAATGTTTTATTTTATATTAACTTACTTGCCGGATTGTGTATGCAAATTGTATGTTTTAAGCTAGTTATTGATCGTCCTAGAATGTGTTCACTTGTATTTTTTTTCTCCTCAATAACTATGCATAGAATCCCCAACACATACAATGTGACCCATCAGACAGACTATAAAGTTCAAAGGTCAAACGGGTATTGCAAGTTTTAAACTAAGACCGTTCATGTTTTTTAAATAATTCTAGTCTGAAGCTGCTTATGAAAACTCGTACTTTCATTTGACTAGCACAAACTAGAACACTTTCTACTGCATTATGCATGTGACAACAAATCTCAAAGCCGAGTTAACCGAGGAATTAACGCAAACAATATTTGTCATTTACTGGCCAAACGGTTGACCGTGATGCATCAATGACATCATACGCACAAAGAGAGGGGCAATAGAAATTTTAAATACACGTTTAAATAATATTTGACCAGCCTTGGGTCACGTTCTGCACACGGGCTCTCAGATTTCAATCTTTATTTAGTCACTGTATTTCTTATGGTTATTTTTTTTATTGCACACGCAACACGGTGTGTTCTGGTCAGTTCCGATTCACTGTACGTGATAGCATTTTTTTTTTAAATCACTTGAATACATCTCCATAGTGCCATGCAAATGTTCATATTTTAAAATGTACATGTATCATTGCTTTAATGTTTACAATTACAGATCTGCATTTTTTATATTTATTTCCGAGCCTTCTATAAACTGTGATAAACGCTTCTCTTCTGGCAATTTTATCACTATGCGTTACAGTAGAAATGAAAACGCCAGATGCGTTGTTATTATATTTCGCTCTTAGTAAATATTAATAGTGTAACTATTATACATTTCTCATATTGTAAGTCAGAAAAATAAAGATGTTAAAACAATCTTTTATTTTAACGTCAATTTTGTTCTTGTGTTTCTGGCTGGACGGCAAAACTTTAAGACGACTAATTCACCCACGTCCCGTCAATCTATCGGGCTGAAACTTGGCACATAGACTCGTCGCTGCTTACAAAATGATACATTAAATTTTCAGCTCCACTTCCCAATCCCCCAACATCAGTTGTCCCTATTTTTTTCAAGGGAAAGATGAAGGAATTATGATGCCATTGGTTTCAAGAGATCAAATTCCCAAAAACAGCGCTAAATAAGATTTTAAAAAATAATAAAATTAACAAGTGCGTTTGGTGCTAATATGTTCTTTTGTTTTTCTGAAATAGTGGGTGAAATAAATCTGCGGTGTAAAAGAGGGTGGGCCATTAGAACATTAATATAAAATAATAAAACATGCATATAAAGGATTTATAAAGGATTTATACGAAAAGTTTTTTTTTTTTTTTTTTTTTTTTTTTTTTTTTTTTTTTTTTTTTTTTTTATTTTTGTATTTTTTTTTTTTTTTTTTTTTTTTTTTTTTTTTTTTTGTATCATTTTATACACTTTGAACTTATCTTTTAGTAAATATCGCCCTGTTTGGAATTCACTACTTTTAATTCACTTGATGAATACTGTGTGATGATCTTCATGGTTAGTTTATTCTTATTTTGCAATAAATGAAATTAAACAATTGACCGAGTTCCTATTGAATATCTGTAGTAGCAGTGTGCTTTGTTGTAGGTGAAACGTAATTCTTTTGTGGTGCTACTTTATGAAAAGATGGAGGTGGATAGGGCACAGTTTCCGAAAATCCCTCAGACAGCATAACCAGACAATCGCTAATATCGATTCCACAGGGAAAAATAATAGAAGAAGGCCTAAGAATACATGGAGACGCGAGCTAGAGGCAGACACACAAAGTATGGGATAAGCCTGGAAGCAACTGGAAAGGAAAGCACAGGGCCGTGATGAATGGAACATTCTTGAGGACGGCCTGTGCCCCAGACGGGGGTAAAAAGGCATACGAAGAAGAAGAAGAGCTACATTCCAGTCACTTTAATAATTGTGTTAAAACATTGATCTGTGCTTGGTGTTAAAATTCTGCACAAACGATGCTTGTGTTTGAAATGTTCTGTTCGGTGTTTGACACTGCATCAATACTATTTGTTGCAACATTCTGCTTTGGTGATAAACAGTGCATTTACCATTATTGCGTTGAAACAAGGATCTCAATATGAGACCATGTTTCTTTCTGTCAATGTTTGTACTAATGACTTTATCTTTAAATGTTTTTGTTTTTTTATTACAGAAAGAATATTTGTTTCTGTGTTTATGTTAACCAATCATAATCCTGAACTTGAATGGCTAAGTTACTGTTGCGGTGTTTGACCTGTTGGTATAATGTTTTCTCGTCATATTCGTTTTCTTTTCTTCATAAACTTAATTTATTTTCAGATTTATTTCTTATTTTTTTTTTAATGCAAAGTATGTGGTAAGTAAGATCAGAGGGTATCACCAGTTACCAGAAGTCTTTTGATGGCGCGCTGGGATGCAGTCCTGAGTTAAGTCCTGATTGAGTCGTTTCAAGTTATCAACGTTAGTCTATCAATTTATTACCAACAAGAGCTGCCAAATCTGGGGACGTGCCTTCAAGGATGTAAAAGAACACTATTATAGTTTTTTTACACAATTTATCTCTTGATCACAGTCTTTTTTTAAAAATTATATTTTGAAGTCTTGTATTTCTTATTCTAATTATTTTTTTAAAAACAAAAGTATAAACCCATTTGAAACCCCCTTTATTTTTTTCCAAAGATTGAAGACAAAATCGAAAGTAGCTAATCTGGAACAATGGAAAGATTTTGAAATATTTCTAAAGTCTATTGATTTGAATAAAAAACAACAACATATATACAGTATATATATAAGTAAATAAATAAATAAATAAATATATATATATATATATAATTTATTGTCACTTGGAAGCCTTGGTTTTTAAGTTGTTATCCACTTATTTGTGACAAACGGAGAAGTGTGATAGGGGGCGGCAAGATCCAAAAATGTGGCCGGAATACCATGACGTCATTTATGGATTCACCCCCCCCCCACTCCCACGCCCTATTTACTACCGGTTTACCTAAGGCTATAGATATTTTTTTTTCCTTAACTGATTAGACGTAGCTACTCTGGTCACATCCATCCTTCCCATGCGTGTAGCCAACTAGTTAAGCTTTGGTAACATCATCGTAAATAGGTCAAAAGACGTCATGAATGTGTACACACACGCGACAACCAGGATACAATGGTGAGGGAGTGTGTGCAACACAGAAACTGTCTCAATGAGAACCTAGTGTGCGTTCGGCGAAGCATGTCTTTTATAAGTTGATGACCATATTTATTTTTTTCTGTAAGTTAACCCTAAGTTTTCAAAATAAATAAGCTTGTTTTCAGTCCTGAATGGGGTCTAAATCAGCATGAAGACATAAGAACGTTAAATCACATATGGATTTATTGTGGATTCTACCAAACACGTTCTGACATTAAATGAACCTGTGTTAAGTACACAAAAAACACCTTTATAGGTAAGTTAAAACCTGTCAAATACATACATTTTTTGTTGTTGTTTTGTTATGTTGTTGTTGTTGGGTTTTTTTACCCCATGTCAGCCAGATCTGGTGAAAATGTGTTCTGTTCAAAAGCTATTGTGACTGTAACACCTGATCTTCTGGAACCATGGGTGTTTAAACGAGTTCCTCCGGCGAATCTGGGGTATTTGAAGTTTTTCATTTGGTGTCTCCCCCCTTGTGAAGTTGTCTTCCCCCTTGTGAGGTTGTCTCCCCTTGTGAGGTTGTCTCCCCCCTTATGAGGTTGTCTACCCCTTGCGAGGTTGTCCTCTCCCTTTTGAGTTTTTCATTAGATGTTTTTTGTTAATGATTAATTAAAATAAAATAAATACTATATACTCACCGTTTTCCTTCTTTATATGTGGGGAAGCATTTTCGGCCTTCTGTAATGGGTCTTGTTATTTCGTGAAAGGGAGTGGCACTAGCCCTTGCTGTGCCAGTGTAAAATCTTACATTGAATGTAGCATTACCTTTGTTTGTATAACCGGAAAATCTAAATAAACCATTGTTAAATTCATTAAAACAAAAATCGTCTTCAAACTTTGTATTGAATTTTGGCGTAAATTCGTCATGTCTTATAACTCTTTTAAGTATAGAAGATGAGCTGACTCTGTCATTGTTTACATTTTATAATTATTTAATTTCTAACGTGCCCTAGTCTAACCACACCCACTTTTATAACTAAACATAGTTTTCATTCGGCTAGGAGACATGGATATCGGGATAATACCCGGGTAAGTCTCACGTGCTGGGTGGCCGAGTTGTCAAACTGAGTTAATCTCAAGTTGATTGTTTCAAGTCCAATCCCCAACAAAGCACCAACCCAAGCAAACCCTTCGACGGGAACTCATTCACCTTAGGTGGCAACTCATCGAAGAGAAGGAAACTATTTTGATTTCGAACCCGGAGATGGAGTCCCGTAGGCGGATAACACGACCGGTATAACAATGACTGGTATAACAATGACTGGTATAACTATGACTGGTATAACATTAACCAGTATAAAAATAACCAGCATAACAATAACAAATATAACAATAATCGGTGTAACAAAACCCAGTTTAACAATAACAAGTATAACAATAACCAGTATAACAATAACCCGTATTACAATAACCAGTATAGCAATAACAGGTATTACAATAACCAGTATAGCAATAACCAGTTTAACAATAATCAGTATAACTATAACCGGTTTTACAATAACCAGTATAGCAATAACCAGTTTAACAATAATCAGTATAACTATAACCGGTTTTACAATAACCAGTATAGCAATAACCAGTTTAACAATAATCAGTATAACTATAACCGGTTCACTAAGGAAATAAAAATCGGGCACACGTGTACATTGCTAACTTGTCATTTGGTACGTTGGGGACACTGATCAACCGTCAAACATCTCAATTTATAAAATAATCGATTTCTCCTTCTTTGCTTCAGATATGGGCAATGCCTGGAACAGATTGCAACATGCTCAACAGACGATACCAAAGGCGATCATTGAGCCGACTTCTCCAGACGAGACAACGATATCGAACCTGTGGTATAACGTGACGCTAAGAGACAAGATCGTGGAAGTATTTGTCGAGTACATCAGGCCGTGGAACGTGCTGCAAGTGTTTCACAAGTACAACCGGCGGGTTCTTGTGCGACAGGATGTGGTGAGGCTCTTAGAACATTGCTGTGTTTGTTAGGGTTCTTGTAGAACAAGATGTGGTGAGGCTCTTAGAACATTGCTGTGCTCGTTAGGGTTCTTGTAGAACAAGATGTGGTGAGGCTCTTAGAACATTGCTGTGCTCGTTAGGGTACTTGTAGAACAAGATGTGGTGAGGCTCTTAGAACATTGCTGTGCTCGTTAGGGTACTTGTAGAACAAGATGTGGTGAGGCTCTTAGAACATTGCTGTGCTCGTTAGGGTACTTGTAGAACAGGATGTGGTGAGGCTCTTAGAACATTGCTGTGTTCGTTAGGGATCTTGTAGAACAAGATGTGGTGAGGCTCATAGAACATTGCTGTGCTCGTTAGGGTTCTTGTAGAACAAGATGTGGTGAGGCTCTTAGAACATTGATGTGCTCGTTAGGGTACTTGTAGAACAAGATGTGGTGAGGCTCATAGAACATTGCTGTGCTCGTTAGGGTTCTTGTGCGACAGGATGTGGTGAGGCTCTTAGAACATTGCTGTGCTCGTTAGGGTTCTTGTAGAACAAGATGTGGTGAGGCTCTTAGAACATTGCTGTGCTCGTTAGGGTACTTGTGCGACAGGATGTGGTGAGGCTCTTAGAACATTGCTGTGCTCGTTAGGGTACTTGTATAACAAGATGTGGTGAGGCTCATAGATCATTGCTGTGCTCGTTAGGGTTCTTGTATACCAAGATCTGATGAAGCTCCTAGAGTCTTGATACAAAAGTTAGGTTACTTGTACGACAACATGTGATGAGGCTCCTAGAATCTTAATGCAATAGTTAGGGTTTCTTGTATAATAAGATGAGATGAGGGTCCTAGAATGTTGATGCAATAGTTAGGTTACTTGTACTACAAAATGTGATGAGGCTCCTAGAATCTTAATGCAATAGTTAGGGTTTCTTGTATAATAAGATGAGATGAGGGTCCTAGAATCTTGATGCAATAGTTAGGTTACTTGTACTACAAAATGTGATGAGGCTCCTAGAATCTTAATGCAATAGTTAGGGTTTCTTGTATAATAAGATGAGATGAGGGTCCTAGAATCTTGATGCAATAGTTAGGTTACTTGTACGACAAAATGTGATGAGGCTCCTAGAATCTTAATGCAATAGTTAGGGTTTCTTGTATAATAAGATGAGATGAGGGTCCTAGAATCTTGATGCAATAGTTAGGTTACTTGTACGACAAAATGTGATGAGGCTCCTAGAATCTTAATGCAATAGTTAGGGTTTCTTGTATAATAAGATGAGATGAGGGTCCTAGAATCTTGATGCAATAGTTAGGTTACTTGTACTACAAAATGTGATGAGGCTCCTAGAATCTTGATGCAATAGTTAGGGTTTCTTGTATAATAAGATGAGATGAGGGTCCTAGAATCTTGATGCAATAGTTAGGTTACTTGTACTACAAAATGTGATGAGGCTCCTAGAATCTTAATGCAATAGTTAGGGTTTCTTGTATAATAAGATGAGATGAGGGTCGTAGAATCTTGATGCAATAGTTAGGTTACTTGTACGACAAAATGTGATGAGGCTACTAGAATATTAATGCAATAGTTAGGGTTTCTTGTATAATTAGATGAGATGAGGGTCCTAGAATCTTGATGCAATAGTTAGGGTTTCTTGTATAATAAGATGAGATGAGGGTCCTAGAATCTTGATGCAATAGTTAGGGTTTCTTGTATAATAAGATGAGATGAGTGTCCTAGAATCTTGATGCAATAGTTAGGTTACTTGTACTACAAAATGTGATGAGGCTCCTAGGATCTTAATGCAATAGTTAGGGTTTCTTGTATAATAAGATGAGATGAGGGTCCTAGAATCTTAATGCAATAGTTAGGGTTTCTTGTATAATAAGATGAGATGAGGGTCCTAGAATCTTTATGCAATAGTTAGGGTGCTTGCACGACAACGTGTGGTGAGTGTCCTAGAATCTTGATGCGTTAGCTAGAATACTTGTACGACAGAAAGTTGTGAGGCTCCCATAATATTGATGTGTTAGTTAAGATACCTGTAAGAAAAGATTTGGTGAGGCTCCCAAAATCCTGATGCGTTAGTTTGCCTTATAAGACAGCGCGTTACCAACGTTAAGGCGCACGCTCCCCCCCCCCACCCCTGGCCCCAAAAAAGGTCACTTTCAAGATTACGGGAAGTATTAGCCTCTAGGACAGCGGTTCTCAACCTGGGGGTCACACGACCCTTTCACGGGGGTCACCTAAGAACATTTGAAAACACTTCTACTTTACAGTTATAATGTGTCAACGAAAGTAATTTTGTGGTTGGGGGTCGCCACAACATGAGGAACTGCATTAAAGGGTCGCGGCATTAGAAAGGTTGAGAACCACTTCTCTAGGAGACAAATAATTACATAAAATAAAGAGAAAGGAATAATGTTAGAGAGGACAGAAGACGCATTAAATTGGGTGATGATAGCATTGAGGGGGGTTGGGAGGTGGTTGTTCAAAATATTGTGCATACACTAGTGTAGTAGATATTAGTGTGAAAGTACGGCATGATGATCGTGGTGGTCATTAAAATATAAACTTCTTGACGGCCGGGCGTAGACTTCTGTATCTTAACCCTTCCACTTAGGTTGAGGCAGTTGGGGGGCGGGGGGGGGGGGGGGGGGGGGGGGGGGGGGGGAGTATACCTTTTAAAAAGTGTGTGAAAGTGTGTGATAGTGTGTGATAGTGTGTGAAAGTGTGTGAAATGTGTGATAGTGTATGAAAGTGTGTGATAGTGTGTGAAAGTGTGTGATAGTGTTTGATAGTGTGTGAAAGTGTGTGAAAGTGTGTAATAGTGTGTGATAGTGTGTGATAAGTAAAACAAGATGGGTCGATCCGTCTAGCTTCTTGTTGTGTTAACCCCATATGCTGTTCAGTGTGTCAGAGATGTGTCCATGAATACCAAGCCTAGCTAGACTGTGTCGCGCTATTTCACCACTTAAAAAAACTAACCAGGCCACGCGATGCTCTGTCACCTCCACTTACAGACAGCGTCAATTGAACATTAGGCTTCATTCCATTTTCTTAATTGATATCGGGAAATGTAATTACCGTGTTTATTGGCGTATAATACACACTTTTTCCTCCACGAAAATAGGGGGCAACTCATGTGTGCGTGTTATACGCCAATATAATGTTTAGTTTTTTCCCCTGAAATTTGTGTTATAAGCGGGGGCGTGTTATACGCCAATAAATACGGTACATTATGCTTCTTTAATCTCTCTCTATATATAAGTATATTTATTTTATGTTAGAATATATATTGGCAGACGGCTTTAAAGTAAATTGAACAATGGAGCATAGGCTTATCTAAGGGGAGGCTGAGGGGGGGGGGGCAGATGTTCCTGGGCACCAGACTGATTAGGGGCGCAAAGATGCGCTTTGATGTTAATTTATTCATATTGGGTTTGAGACGAGTACGGATCATTCATTAAGCTCGACTGGTGGTCGTAAATGGATATAACATAAAGTGGATTTGCGGATACCAAATATGTTTGGGATTTTTTTTGTTAATATGGCTTCTTCCTCAAAATAAAAAAAAATAATAATAAAGTAATCCAACAATAAACAAAAATGCTGTGGGCTCTGGGGCTAGGCAACGGAAACAGAAAAAAAAAGGATTACAGTTTCATATGTTGAAGTGTACACTCTAAATGCTTTGATTTTTATCTCTGTTACGGAAAGGATGTCAAACAGGATTCACTGGGCCGTGACGTGATGTCCTTGTTTACTTCGGGAGATTTTGTTTTCCCGGGGAGATCGTGGATNAAAAAAAAAAAAAAAAAAAAAAAAAAAAAAAAAAAAAAAAAAAAAAACATTAATTAAAATAAGTAACGTGAAATTTTCTCAAGAATGAGAGTGAATTCAAATGCCATTTAATAGCAGCAAGCGATCTAGGGCTTAGACTCTGAAATAGCCAATTAAATAATACATTAATGTCATTGAAACTTGATTTAACACGTTTGAGTAGTCTTTATCCGTTATTCACAGTCATATTTCTGTTTATATCAGTGATCCAAGGTCATGTTTTATTTTATATCAATGATCGACAGTCATATTTTTGTATATATCCGTGATCCACAGTCATATTTCTGTTTATATCCGTGATACACGGTCATATTTCTGTTTATATCCGTGATCCACGGTCATATTTCTGTTTATATCCGTGATCCACGGTCATATTTCTGTTTATATCCATGATTATCCACATTCATATTTCTGTTTATACCTGTGATCCACGGTCATATTTCTGTTTATATCAGTGATCTACAGTTATGTTTCTGTTTCTATCCGTGATCCATATTCATATTTCTGTTTTTAGGAGTTCGTCAAGGCTCAAGTTAACAATCTCGGTGACAGGGTCGGAAGCCAGACGCTCCTAGAGAGGCTATCGATCTACGAAGGCTGGTTCGATTGTTTGATATCTACTCTCAAGGACAGGGAGGTCATGCTTGATCACGTGGCCCAAACGTTTCAGAATCTCAAGGGTAGGCTGAGATAATTGTGAATTACCTCGTGCAACTTAAAGGAGAGTGGAGGGTGGGGGGAAAGGAGGACCCCCAGGGTAGGAAATACAGGTTCGGATAAAGGGTCACCTGGTTCGGATAAAGGGTCACGTAAGGCTCAGTGGTGAAGGGAAAAGACAGGCGTATTAACATAAATTATTGAACGGCCATTTAGAGAGAGTCATTAGGTGTTACTTTCAACCAATCAGATCAGTGTGTGTGTGTGTGTATAACTGTGTGTATGCGACTTTTGATTTTTTTTTTAAATTACAGTTAATACCTTATTTCTATTAGCATTTCCATCTTCTTCATCAAATTGTTTTTTTTTCCTTGTTACACTTGACTCTATCGTTCACTTGATCGTCTGTCTCGTGCTCACCTAAAAAAAGTCACATCTGAATTGTGTCAACATGGATCCTGCTTTGCTCAATGATCGGCGGGAGAAGGGTAAATCGGGGAGCTCTTATAAGAACTGTAGGATTAGGGAATTTGAAAAAAAGTACTAAAGCTTCTTTTTTGGATACTATACAGGTTAACATTTTAAAACTTAACATTAGCAAATAAATATATTGCATAATAAAATATCCAAAGTTAATACAATTAAAAACAAATTTAAGTTTTGTCTACATCCAATTCGAATCTTTTGGCTTTACAGAGAGTCCATCTGCACCTGTTTAACGCCTTTGTTTGCGTTGTGAATTTTAAGAAATTTTAAATGACGCACTATGTGATAGGTGTTCAAACTCGTCTCTGATAGAGAGTCTTGACTAAAACGATTTGTTTCAAATTATTCTTTTTTTGTTGGTGGTTCTTTCCAATTGAAATGTGCGTACACCAGTTTAATGGATGTTCGATGTTTGAATGTGCATCATAATAATTCATTTAGTTCTAGATGGTTGCTTGAGAAACAACACACACAGAACAAAACATGACAATGCGATTTATCAGCAAGGTTTCCTTTGGCAGCACTGCAGGATCAGATTCCTATGAAGCAGACCATTGTCTTTATCTATTTATGTGACGGGTCTCTTTGAGTAGTTCACGATCTCCTTTTAGCTCATTGTTCATGCTATTTGATTTACTATCTTCATTACCACCTCCAAACAATTTTTTTTTCTGTTAAAGATTCTTTTTTTTTTCTGATTAGCTTTCTTTGTGGTTATCTATGTTCTTTTTCGTAAAACTTTAGCAGTTTTTGAAGGCATGCCTACAACTAATTCTTTAGACCTACTAACGTCTTAAATAATGTAATTTAGAATTGTTTGGAATAATTATTCAGTTACATGGCTAGCGTTTGGTTTTTTAAAAAATGAATTTTTAACCTCTTTTGGCTCAGTGTGTGAAATTTAAAAAAAAAGTGTACTTTATCGAATTTTGATAACTCATTTGAATAAGAAAAAAATATTTTTTTTAAATGACTCGTTATTTTTTTACATAATATTATCTTTTACTTCACTCAGATGACTTGGATTATGAAATATTAAACGACCAGGAACCTGAAAATTCCTCTGTAAGTACATCATTCTTTTCTGTGGTCTTTTCTCAAGATTTCCAAATCTAGGGCTTCATTTTTTTACTTAAGAAGTCCTTACTTTATTTTACAGTTATTTTTAGTGCAATGTTTATACAATGAACTGGTAAGTCAAATTAGAAATGTTTTAAATGGCGTTAGAAGAGGAGGCGGGGGGGGGTTGTCGAACAAGCTGTTGACATTTTATTTAGGCGGAAGAGTGGTAGCATTTTCTGTCCACTGTATTTTCTGTATTTTTTGTTTCTTAAGAAGTCCTTACTTTATTTTACAGTTATTTTTAGTGCAATGTTTATACAATGAACTGGTAAGTCAAATTAGAAATGTTTTAAATGGCGTTAGAAGAGGAGGCGGGGGGGGGGGTTGTCGAACAAGCTGTTGACATTTTATTTAGGCGGAAGAGTGGTAGCATTTTCTGTCCACTGTATTTTCTGTATTTTTTGTTTCTTTTGTAAAATGTCTTTTAATGTACCACTATGTAGAGGGGGATTATTTTTGTATGCATGAAATATACATAAAAATATACAATAAGACTTCATAGACTGGTGTTAATGTATTTGAATTTTGTGGCTTTGAGTCGTTAATCTTGGATGGCCACTCATCTAAGAGGAGGCAAACTCTTAATTCAAACCCGGAGATGGCGTTCCGTAGGCGGTATGACATTGACACAATGCTAAGTGAAAGCTAAAAGAGCGAAGTAAGACACAAAAACACTGCAGGTATTCTGCTTCATCCTGATCTAACTCCATTCGTATTGACTAAGTCTTGCCAATGGAACAATAAATGGTCCAGGACGAGATAGTTAGCCGTACAATAACAACATATACAATTTTGAGACTTTTCATTAATAGTCAAGACATACAGAGAGCGTTATAGATCTTAATTTTGCGGTGAAACAATGGCAGGTTTTTAAAATTATTTTTATAGCGGCTGAATTAACTTAACGTCGTATGTTAAACTTAATGTTACTACTTCCAAATTCTTATAACGCACTGTCTTTCCTTTTCATTTCAGGGCCTGGAAACAGACTCTTCTCATAAACCCAAAAGTAAATATTCTGTTATAGAAACATAGTTTAACAATAATTTGTTTGGAATATGTTATTTTTTACGAAATATAATTTATAAGGTAGCTTTAGTGTCACAATATTCTCAAGAAAAAAAGCGCTTTATTTTATCAAATTTTTTTTTTAAAGACGAGACTATCTTTGACTTTTTGATCAGCCATTAATATTTTTCAACAATGTTATATATATATATATATATATCATATATCACATATACTGTAAAAAATCATCCTAAGTGTGAAACTAATTTTACCGTTAAAATATCTAATTAAACAGCGTTATGTCGTGATGACATAATTAATGTAACTTTACATCAACTTAAAATTGTGGAACAAGGTAACTGTCTCCTTCCCCCAGTTTGAAGTAACGCAGCCCTTCCCTTCCCTTCCCTTCGTTTGTTTCATACAATAACCGTTTGTCACCTTGTCCGTAGCTGGTGACGGAGTGTTGGAACGTCTCAAGAAAGACAACCTGAGGTTAATGATCAAACTTGGTAAGAATTGAGTGTACTTAAATCCATGTAAGACAATCAAAAGGAAACAAAAAATATCTTGTATAATCTAGCACTTAAGGGTAAATAGTACTGTTACACCTATATGTCTTCCATTTTTCTGTAGTTGATATGGGGAGTGCTAGAACTGACCACTATGATAAAGGTTAATATCTTTCAATTTGAGAAAGTAGCTGTGCAGCCAAATTTTGTTATTATATTTTTTGTGTGGTAGTCTATTTTATCGGTAGGGACACATTTTACAAGGGATTGTATTTAAAATTTAGGGTGGTCAAACTACTTATTATTATTTTTGCTATTATTTTTATTTTTATGCAACCACTGTAATTTAAAATCATTTTAATATATTTTTTTCAAACTAGAGATTTGTCTTCAAAAATATGTTGACAGAAATCACAAACCGACTAAAATGTCCATCAGTAAAAACTGTCTTTCAATTTTTTTCCCACCAGAAAAGATGACCAATAATTATGAACGGGAAAGAACCGCTCGAGAAAAATTAGAAGTCCAGGTCAATGTTCTACAGTCAGGTCAGTAAGTTTTTTAAAACTGGAATGACGTAGAACATGTTTGTGAAAGTTGGTATTTTAAGTCAGACAAATGTGGAAGTATATAAATAGAATGCAAGCTTTATCTTCGTTATGCGTAAACAATTAAAGCTACACACTTGGACTTGACGTTATAAGAAATATTACAGGATTTAAATTGTATAAAATCTGATAGCATGGTTCTAAAATAGTAAGAGATAGAAAAATGTCTATAATTCAGAGCTTGGAGCAGCAAAAGTGATCCATAAACTGCTTAACCCGAATTAAAGCATTTCAAATGTGTATATATTTCAGAGCTTGAAGCCAGCCAAAGTGATCCAGAGTACAAAACATTCGCGGTGAAATTAAAACAACTGCAGGACGACTTTGAGGATGTTGTCAGAGAGAGAGATTACCTTAGAGTAGAACTTGGTAAAGTAAAAACAAATTTATTTTACGTTTTAATGCACTTACTTTGGCTGATTTTTCACGTAACATCATCCACACATACAAAAATTAAAATATGAAAAGACATAAACTGCAAACACGATGAGCTTTGGGATAAAAAAAAGAATTGTTTAATTTAAAAAATTAAGAACTTTTCAGCTTTTAAATGAGTTTGAAGAAAACACAGGATTTTAAAAATGTATATACATATAGAGAGAGAGAGAGACTAATACAAAATGTCAGCCTTTAAAGACGTATGAAGACGTAAGAAATGTAAATAACATAGGGCACAACACAGATAAAACAATATTTCTTATACGAAAATATTTGATTTTTCATTTGGTTTAAAAATATTGACTACTCACAACTGAAATCCTGTTTCAATTTCTGAAAACCTTTGTAGATGAATCCAGAGTACGATCAGAGCAGGATTGTCAGGCTTATGAAGAGAAAGTCAAACAACTCCTGTCCGATTTTGAAGCACAAAGAAGAGAAAGAGAGCTATCCAATCAAAAACAAGGTATATTATTTTATTTCTAAGTACTTCCCCTTCGTAAAGATTTATTTTCTTATTCTAAAAAAAAATTATACACTTTACATTGTTTCCAGGGAATGGTTTTTTTTTTAGTTCAATTTAGATAACAAGATTTTCACTAGTATTTTTTAAAACTTATTTTCGTTCGTACAAAGGAAAAAGTTCATTTCTAACAGAGAAAATAATCATAATAATAAGTGTGACTTATAAGTTTTAGTCGTTAAATTAGTTATCATAATTATTTTAATATTATTTTAATGTTTAAAACTTTAACTCTTTATTTTCAGGTCAAGGGAAAGGAAAACATAAGAAAAAACTGAAGCCGCCATCTTGTTTTAATGGCCATTAGTAGGAACCCGGATGATATAACGTTTCGATAGCGCCTTTAGAACTTCAGAAGTTTAACAGAAATCCCCTTTTTTCACTGATATCTTATTCGTGTGTGCGATAAAAAACACGTTATAAAGAGACACACAACTTACAGAGATGAGTGAATTCACTTAAAACAGGAGCGTTTCTTGTTTTAAACATATGATTGGATTTTGAAGGATTTTTTTAAAATGTTGTTCAATAGGAAATATGCTCGCACTATTTATAGAGACCAATAAACCGATTCATAAGAATATCAGCGGGGAAAGTAGAGTGACTATATTTAATCTATTTAGTACAAGCAGATAAAGTGTTGCCTTTTACTGGGGAGAATGTAGATTTTATCATGAGTTCAAGCGTACACACATTATGGACTCGCCAGCAAGTGTGAGGAATTGCTCTGGCGAGATGATCAGATGAGGCTTACAGCGACAGACGGCAGCGCGACTGATGTGAATGAGTTGTCCAATTCACATTTGACAAAGCATAAAAATGTATGTGAGCGCGGAGTTGATGTATTTATTGTTTTGAAGGAGTAACTGCAACCACTGGAACGTTGTCTTTAGCTGCCCCCCAAGCAGACAGACATGTCTGGAGGAGCGCAGTAACATAAATTAAACCTGATTTCTCAGGGGTCAAAAAGATGTACAGATATTGGAGGGGTGTGGAAATCAGTGGTGGCTAATGGAAGGAACACTGCGCATGCGTCTCAAGATAAGCTTGACGTCATTTTCAAAAAATAGTTACCTCATTTCAAAAGAAATGTAAAAAAAACATATTTTTTTGTGTGTATAAAACGTTTATCCTTTTGAACACAATATATTATATGATCTATTTTCATAGTAAAGAGTTGATTGTATTGCTTTACTCATGCCAACTGATATCATAAATAGAGACATCTCTGTTCTTGAATCTTTAATATCAACAACTACGTTCAACATTATCAATCATGTTACATAATAAATTTGAGTTTTTGTATTAACTATACTATTCTTTTTAAGCGTTCACAAAATCATTTCATCAGATTTGAAAAGATGTGACAAAAGTCCACAACATTTTATTGGTTTTAGAAACATAAAAAAAGTGAGATTACTTAATCCGATTTAAAATATAATTTCTTCGTGAGCATTGACGTCACACACGGGATCTGTTTCTTGTTATCCTGATCCGGTTTTTTGGATTTTGAGTGGAAGTTGAAGGCCACGTTTCCGATGACCCGAGTCATCATGGTCTGTAAGTCAAGCCTTGTCCACTCCTTGCTGAAGACATTGACAATAGCTCTGATGAAGCACGATCCCTCTACATTTCGAAATGACGCATACCCTGAGCGAACAAGATGACATAGTCAAACAATAGGTTTATAGTGCTATACAACCTGAGCGAACAAGATGACATAGTCAAACAATAGGTTTATAGTGCTATACAACCTGAGCGAAAAAGAGGACATAGTCAAACAATAGGTTTATAGTGCTATACAACCTGAGCGAACAAGATGACATGGTCAAACAATAGGTTTATAGTGCTATACAACCTGAGCGAACAAGATGACATAGTCAAACAATAGGTTTATAGTGCTATACAACCTGAGCGAACAAGATGACATGGTCAAACAATAGGTTTATAGTGCTATACAACCTGAGCGAACAAGATGACATAGTCAAACAATAGGTTTATAGTGCTATACAACCTGAGCGAACAAGAGGACATAGTCAAACAATAGGTGTATAGTGCTATACAACCTGAGCGAACAAGATGACATGGTCAAACAATAGGTGTATAGTGCTATACAACCTGAGCGAACAAGAGGACATAGTCAAACAATAGGTTTATAGTGCTATACAACCTGAGCGAACAAGATGACATGGTCAAACAATAGGTTTATAGTGCTATACAACCTGAGCGAACAAGATGACATAGTCAAACAATAGGTTTATAGTGCTATACAACCTGAGCGAACAAGATGACATAGTCAAACAATAGGTTTATAGTGCTATACAACCTGAGCGAAAAAGAGGACATAGTCAAACAATAGGTTTATAGTGCTATACAACCTGAGCGAAAAAGAGGACATAGTCAAACAATAGGTTTATAGTGCTATACAACCTGAGCGAACAAGATGACATGGTCAAACAATAGGTGTATAGTGCTATACAACCTGAGCGAACAAGAGGACATAGTCAAACAATAGGTTTATAGTGCTATACAACCTGAGCGAACAAGATGACATAGTCAAACAATAGGTTTATAGTGCTATACAACCTGAGCGAAAAAGAGGACATAGTCAAACAATAGGTTTATAGTGCTATACAACCTGAGCGAACAAGATGACATGGTCAAACAATAGGTGTATAGTGCTATACAACCTGAGCGAACAAGAGGACATAGTCAAACAATAGGTTTATAGTGCTATACAACCTGAGCGAACAAGATGACATGGTCAAACAATAGGTTTATAGTGCTATACAAAAAGAAAAGTATTCATATATTCGCTTCAATGGTGCATGCAATTTATTTTGATGTTGGGACCAATGAAAGCTCTAGTAGTAATACATTTCTTGCCAAAATTCAATAGCAACTAATTCCGTTTTACATAACATGTCAAAAGATCAACCAATGTGACACATGCTTTTCCAGGTGGTAGACACAATTTTTTTTAAAAAGACACTTCGATCTCTATTAATATCCTTTGTAGAAGCAAATACTTCCTGGATGAAGCAGCTGCAGATCACCGACTACATATACAATATGTGTGACTTCATGCCTGAGATATCGTGCGCTCATTGTACGTGCGGTGATGATATCGGTTAGATAGTGTAGGCCAAGGAACGCCATATGATATCACTGCATGTGTGTAGATTCCCTATTTAAAAACGAAAAAGTGACTTTCTCACCCGGGGCAGTAGAGTAGGCGATGAAGTAATCGCTGTAGGAAGGGAAGAGTTCTTCTGAAGAATCGGACTCGTCTTCAACGCTGTCATCATCTAAGGTAGTGGCAGCAACAACACTGTCGTCGTCGAAAGTAGCAACGGCGACACCACTGTCCACTAAATGACCTCTACAGGCCTAATTTGAATAAACACAAAGATAGGACATGATTATCAAACATAAATTTAAAAACGTGTTAAAAATGACCATTTTCTTTTTAAAAATTCAATTGTTAATTTTAATTTGCACTACACAATTGTTTTTACGAAGTGGCTATTCGCACCCGGGTCCCAGAATTGAGATGTTGGGATTAAAAACCAATTTAAAATAGTTTTCTCTCTCTCTCTGGTTCTGGTAGTATTCGTTGCTGCATCCATATACTGTTGGGTTTGTAAGACAAAATAAGGATTTAAATGAGAGACAATTGAATGGACTATACGTTTGTAAACTTACTTCTTCAGTTTAACTAAAATAAACTACCACAAATGACGCAGCGCCGCCATTGGCACCCGGGTCCCATTAGACGCATGCTATTCGGATGTCATTTGTGGTAGTTTATTTTAGTTAAACTGAAGAAGTAAGTTTACAAACGTGTAGTCCATTCAATTATCTTTCATTTGATACCTAATTTTGTCTTACAAACCCAACAATAATATTTTACATTGTTTTTTAATCCCAACCTCTCACTTTTGCTAGCCGGGTCTGAATAGTCGCATACTTGTTTTTAAGCAATAATGAGGGGAACAAAAATTTAGTTCTTTACAAGAATGAAGAAAGAAACTAAGCTAATTGCTGTGTTCTTCGTGCAGATAAGTAGACATGTGAAATCAATTGCAATTTTATTTTTTCCTAGACACGAGAATCACGTAGAAATAGAATACCACATACCATAAGTATAATGTTAATTTCTTTATTTTCTCAAAGCTTTTAATTTGATATATATATACACATTTGTGCTATTTCTTATAAGAAATAACGAATTTTCATGGCTATCGATTCTAGGTTCAATAATCAAACTTATCAAAGAATTGCTTGTGTTAATTTGTAGTATTATAAAAATGTATATTGTTATCATTGTAAACTAGTCAGACACTTTCTGTTCGGAAACACATTGATTGCTTAAATTTCGTAGGTTTTCAGACGGCAATCTTGATGGGCACCTGATGACTAATATTTTCCTAACATTTTTTTTTGATGGCGGGAGGGGTGGCTGGAGGGGTGTCTGGGACTTAATGCACATCTCTACATTTAAGGCGTTTTGTCATTTATGTTACAAATAGTGACATTTTAATCTAATATTTCAGTGGTAATGATTACATGTATACCATCAGTCAGAGATTGGAATGACAACCGGCACAAGGAAGGAATCTTAATTAAAATACAGTTTACACGAGGTCATTGAAAGTCCTAGCAGTATGCCACAAACTACTATTTATACCTAAGATTTGGTAATTTTAACACAATTTGAACGTATCAAAAGTATACCCTAAAACAAGGTCACAGCTTTGTCACTGTGTGACATAATTTTTGTATTTAACCCTAACTGATTCTGTCACGGTCACAAACCTGTATGAAGAACAACCTAGGCTTCCCGACCAGAGTCTTGCACCTGTCATCGGTGAACGGCTCAAACAGCTCGCTCAGGGGCAGCTCCTCGTCTATGCCGTAGACGAAATCCCGCTCACCGTGTGTCAGCACAACACAAACAAAACAGCTGCTCTCTGAATGATCCAATCGAGACACTACGAAAACACACCAAAAAAAATACATTATAACATAAATTATCTAGTAAAACCAACATTCTCCAACACAAGTGTTGCATGCAGTATGAGTGGTCTGAGGCAAAAAACGAACTTTTCGCATATTAAAGTAATCTCTATGCTCACGTAATATAAGCGTACAAATAAAATGCATTTGAAAAATGTGTAACTTTTTAAGTTACCCAAAAGTTAATTTAAGGCAGTAATCAAATCTATCATAAGAGATGATACAAAATCCTTATTTGTCAGTACAGGAATTGAGTAATCATAGGCATTAAAATAGATGTGGTAAGAGGGTTTCACATGAAGTCCACAAGCCGGAAAGTAAAGTTTCTTATTTATGGACCCGTAAATTGTAGAGGCCTGCAGACGATGGTCGGTGTCTTCATCTGACAACTAGTAGAGCATTTAAAAAATGTTGGGACGCCATAAATACATTAAAAAAAATACGTGTGCTTTGGTTCATTGAAGCAATGACATGAGCAAGTGAAGTTTCTGCATAGTCGAACATTGATTGGGATTTGAATCTCTGAGACCGTTGCTGTCAACTCAAAGCTTGATGTATGACAGAAAATTTTTGTTTGCATGCACACAAATAAAAATGGAAAGACAATATCTATAACCGCTATTGGCGTTTGTAACATTGTATCTCTTACCTTATCGACATTTGTCGTATTGTATTTCGAATGGTATTGAAATGGCCACATCGTATCTATTACCTTATTGACATGGTCACATTGCATCTCTTACCTTCCTCAAGTTCAGCCCTGATGTTGTCTGCCGTGATGTCGTCCTTCCGTCGTATGTTCTTGAAGCCCATGGTTTTGAAGAGTTTCTCCACGTTCCCGGCGTCTATCCCGGTACCTACTCTCGTCTCCAACCCGTCGACAGCAAAGTGTTTGATGTTTATGATGACCACACTGCCGAGGTCCGGATAGTCCATTCTGTAGTTGGACATTGTCACTGTGTGTGTGTGTGGGGGGGGGGGTCGCTATAACCAAAAATGAACAAGTCAGAGGGGCTATTCCAATTTTGATGTACATAGCGAGTTTTATACCGCTAGAAGGTTGGTATCGAAGTAGCGCAAAACACAGTTGTATTACATGTACTGCTCTTAATAAAAAAAATAAACATCATTATATATATGATATATATACCTTATTTTCGGCGCATAAGACGACTGGCCGTATAAGACGATCCCCTACTTTTCCTTTTAAAAGCTAGGGTTTGGGCTGTACAGCAGCTCATAAGACGACCCCCATCGTATAAGACGACCCCCGACTTTGGAAAGATTTTCATGGGTTAAAAAGTCGTCTTATACGCTGGAAAATACGGAATATAAATATATATATTTTGGACATAAAATCTTTATTTCTTTCTCTGATTGCTTTATATAAAACTTGCCATTCTAAGTTTTTTAAAAAAGTGTGTACGCAAAATTCGGGGAAAAAAGAGGGGGGGGGGGTAGGTAGTATTGCATGACTAATATGGAAGCTCGGGACTCTTAAATCACAAGATTCCAGATGTTTCACTTAATGTGTATGTCTTAAGTTAGTACGTTGTAAAATGGGGGGAAAAGGGGGGGGGGGGTAGGTAGTATTGCATGACTAATATGGAAGCTCGGGACTCTTAAATCACAAGATTCCAGATGTTTCACTTAATGTGTATGTCTTAAGTTAGTACGTTGAAGTTTACATTTCCTATATCTATATTTTTTTTTTGTGCAATTGATTTTATATTTATTTTAATACGATTTAGTCTATTTCAAATGGCTTGTAATTATTAATATTTCCGATGACCACTCTATAACGCTACGTACGGGTGTTTAATAGATCAAGCTGGTTTTTTTAAATTAAAAATATATATATATAAATGAAACCTCATAAGTTAGGGTGATAATTGTAATAGACGTAAAGGTTGTTGGCTTTTCGAATGATTAAAAGTACACAACTATTTTGAATAAAATAAACAATGAATAAATACAATAAATAACTTCACAATTTGAATGAAAAGATCCACACAGCTTTAAGCATAAAGTCATAAAGTGTAGGCTGAATGTGGTCCAAAAACGTGACATTTTAATTGTCAGTGCTAACACTTACTTAAATTTAAGATACTCATCATAAGAGTTGACACAAATTCTCTTCCAGGAGAAAATTTGCATTTCCATTTTATGCTTTATGTTTTTTCGATGACTCTGGTATCTTAAAATGATAGTTGTATATCTACAACTTTTGCATTTAAAGATGTTTCGTTGACATGATGTTCCGTGGTATTTCCGCTCTTCCGGAAATACCCGACATGACCTGGGTGTCAACTTGCATCATAAACAAAACAAATAAAAACACACCTATCTCCACCTCCTAGTGCTCTATCCCAAACAGATTTACTTAAATAACACTTCATTAAAGTTTCAGAAAAACAAAGAAAAAATCAACGACATAAAAACATATTTAAATTGTGAATAACATACTGTACAAAAATCCTGCAATGTATTTGAAAAACAAAGAATGAATGTGCACCTACCGTGTACCGCGAGTGGGGTTCAATGTGTCATGTCGCTGCTGTCTTGTTAGCGCGTACACATATCAGGTTCTTGAGAAGATAGACAACCTTCATATGTTGGGTCACAGTTTGGTACGGCGCACAGAGAAAAGATCGACTGAATCTAAATAATTCTTACCCCCTAGACTTAAATGTTAGGAAATGTTCGTTATTAAACCAGAGGTTATGGTTCCCCGCAACGATTAGAACACCGAGGAAAAGTACAATTACGCAAACAGACAAAGTTATGTGAACTGTAAGAAATGGTAATATCGGATACACCAACTCAATAGAACTGAACTGTCGGCACTTCAATGGGGAATGTCTAACTTTAAATCGAATGCATAAACCAAGCTTATCTTTCAACCACTTATAATAGAAAGTTCATATGGCTATTTGACAAACTAAGGCTTGATATCTACTCCAAAAATTGGGATTGAATGTTTACTCTTTTAATGTAATGTTTCAAAATATTATTTTTTAAAAAAAAATATTGAGATCATCAACTTAATTGAAATGGGACATTTGCGATAAAATGTTGCACAGGACTTTTCACAAGAAATAAAAATATGTTATTTATTTTAAAGAAACATTGTGATGCGTATAAACAGTGTGAGGATCGACACAACACCAAAATAAAAAATAAAAAATTGTACAATTTTTATCATAGAATATTATTTTCAAAATTGAAAAGCGAGGGAATATTGTGGCGTGACATTTCGAATATTTAAAAAAAATAATAAAACGCATGAACTCGTATTCTTTATTGTAAAATTTTTCAAAACCCTGTAATGTTATAAACGGAAATAAATATACATAGATATTTATTTAAAATTAAGGAAAATTTGATTTATTATTTCTTAAACAAACTTTTCATTGGGTAGGGGCAAGTCATATTTTTTTTTTTTTTAAACTTATCATCAAACGTTGATTCAGTTACAGCGAAGCATTTAGGTTTAAAGATGCTGAGGCTTCACAATATAAGGTAGAATATATTAAAATAAACCTCCATATTACCCGAGTCTTACATTGACTAATTCGTCGATTATTTTAATTTATGTTAACCCTTATTAAAGACAAATATTTTTGTTTGGTTTCATTAGGGGATTTCTGCTAATAGTGTCAATTTTCCTACATACTTGGTTAGTTCTGTAATAGGGAAATATGGGTGCTATTTTTTGAAAAAAAATATCGATTTTTGAAATCATGTCAATATCACATATTTTAAAAAATATTAATTGCAAAATAAAATACGATTATGTTTTACAAAAAAAATTATCAATTTAGACAACTTAAATATTATAGAATGAACACAAAAAAGAGCACGGAAATTATGTTGTATTTGTTTATATTCACAAATCCAATGGCTTATAATTCATGTCAAATTATAGGAATTTTGTGACACAGCAGTATTGGACCTGTGCTACCGACATTTAGTCATATCAAAAAGAAGCTGTTGCAACTTCATCTTACATATTTATCTGACTATCTTTACATCTTTAAAGACAGACCTGAACTTTACCATTCAATTTAACAAGTCTAGACTACACTATACTCCAAAAAAGATTAAAAATTCACTGAAAAACCCGTTATCATTGTTTCAATATTCTTTTTCCGAATTCTCAGCAGGTGACTCAGGTGAGTATTTCAACAAGACTTCTTGTGATTTTAGGTTTTCATTTGTACATTTAGCGTTATTTTAAACAGATATGTAGAATGAGATTGCAAATAGAATTTAAGCCCAATGACGAGGAAAGTCAGTTCGAATATACCCTTTAATCTTTAACAGCGGGACTTTGAATTAAGTTTTTTTTTTTTTTCCTCTGCAACGAAGTTAAATAAATATCACATGACGTAGACATAATAGAGTTACATTTCTATTTATGCATTGTTACTTTTTTTTCATTGATATCTTTATTTAAAGTTAAAAACTAAGATGGCTATTTTTAACATTATACCACAATATAAAAAAAAGTATGCTTATTTGGCTTAAATTAACTCCCTACTCCTCTCCCTCACCTTGTGGTGTACAAAGAGACTCGTTGGCAACACTGAGTGGCCTGAACAAATTTGTGCGCACCCCTTTCTTGTTTGAAAAATAATTATTATACAATTAATAGCTTTATTTTTCATAGCCTTATTTGGCTATTTGTGCTCATAATTTGACAGTTTACCTGGACTTGTCACGTATCTCTGTTTATCCAGAATGGGCAGTGGATTTCTCTTCTCATAGTCCTCTCATTATTCTCTCACATTCTCTTCTTGTTGGTTTTGCTTTACCTTCTCGTTTCGTTTTCTCTAATGTTTTCTTCCTTTTGATACCTTGTCCCTAAGTGTACCATGGTTTTTATCTTCTTATATTTCCTTATATAATCTTTAAATACAAGGAAATAGTTTGTAATACATATTACAGACAATAACTACTAAATTATAATTTTTAACGCACCAGAACATTCAAAGGATAGATTTCACACCATCATATAAAGTACACACATGTTGTATGCAGGCAGGCATAATATCATTATTTTTTCTTTGGGATAAGAATTACATTTTCGAAAGTGGCTATTCGTACCCGGGTACCAGAAGTGAGAGGTTGGGATTAAAAAAAAAATATTTAAAATTTTATTTTTCAGTTTATAAGACAAAATGAGGTATCAAATGATAGAAAATGGTCCCAGACACGCAGCGCTGCCATTCGCACCCGGGTACCATTAGACTCAAGCTATTCGGATGTCGTTTGTGGTACGTTTATTTTAGTTAAACTGAAGAAGTAAGTTTACAAAAATATAGTCCATTGAATTATCTTTCATTTGATACCTCATTTTGTCTTACAAACCCAACAATAAATTTTTAAATAGTTGTTTAATCCCAACCTCTTACTTCTGGTACCCGGGGATACAAATAGTCGAAGCCATACATTTTTATTAAGTTAATATCATCAAACTATTCTATCTGGGTCACGTAGGTTTCTATAGCATGAAATGCATTTGTACAGTTAAAGCTCAAAATTAATTTAGTAAAATAACATTAACTTAACGTTCTTTATAAAGTAATGAAAGTAAGGATACTAATTTGTTTTAATAAATAATTCTCCATTCAATCACTCAAAATATACAATTCCTTTAGGAAAAAATTCACAAAACGTATAGGATTGCCCTCCAGAATTTAAAAAAAAAATTGATTAATGAAAAAAACCCATAAAACAAAGTTTTTGCATAAATCCTTTACAACATGTAACAATCGAGCAATTGGGGGGAAAGAGGAAATAAAAATTTGACATAAATGCATACAAGAAAGGCACTTTATAAGAATCCCAATTAGTGCAAATTCCCCCTTCCAAGGGTTGCAACCGCATTTTTTACGCCCCTTAGCTATATTAATGTTCTAATAACCCACTCGTCTTTACACCGAAGATTATTTTCTGGAAAAAAAAAATACGCACCAAACGAACTTTCGATTTTATTTTTGTTCTAAAAACATCTTTTATAGCGCAGTTATTGGGATTTTTTTTTGTTCGTGAAATCAGTCGCATCATCTTCTTTCCATCTTACATTGGAAAACAGGAAAAAACTCATTTTTGGGGGTTGGGGCTGACAATTTGAAAGAATGTGTTGTCGTCTTCAGCAAGTCTATGTGCTAAGTTTCAGCTTGATCGGTTGACGGAAAGTAGCTCGATTAATTTTCCGAAAGTCTTGCCAGCCAGCGTTCCGGCCACAATTTAAAGCAAAGTAAAGATAAAGGATTTTTTAAGACTACTTTAAACACACGAAAAAGTAGAAACAAAAAAAAAATTAAAATATAACACTTTACATAATATACTTTTGAAATATATTAAAATGTATAATTTTTTCCTTTTTTCAGTTAAATCATTATCGGCGAAAAACCTCAGCATCTCCGATTCTGTTATTAAAGATGAATACAATTATAATATTACTAATGGTTGCTGCATTTCTTCTCTTTGCATACGGAACACCTGATGGGATATTTAAGATTTATCTAACTTCTTTCATTGCTTTTACTGTAGTTATTATTTCATACATTACAAATCGGACACAACTGCATAACGGTGATGTACCATGTGAAAGCCAAACGAGATCTCCAAACGATATGTCCACGCTTGATGACTGCTTGTACGCTATAGTTATGGGTGCACCAGGAAGTGGGAAGACATCAACAATGATATCTCTGGTTCAGAATGAAATACATTATTACGACGCAGATATTAAATACTGTCGAAACTGTGATTCATTTGGAAGGAACGTGGAGGTAGTACATTGTAAGAGTTCATCGCCGACAAACGTTTGCCAAATCGAAAAAAACTTGCGTAACATTTTCAAATACCAGGAAGAAACGCATGTGATAATCCTCTGCATCCCGTTTCAATATAACAAGAACGATTACCATGTAAGCAACCTGGACGCTCTCAGAAGTGTGTACGGGCGCGACATTGTTAAAAACAATGTAATCGTAGCTATTACTTTTGGAGAAAGTTTTGAGGAAACGAGAAAGGCCATGGGTTACAAGAATTTTGAACATTGGAAAAAAATGTTGAAATCTTCTGATCTTAAAGAATTAATAAAGGAATGTAATAATAGATGTATTTTATTTCAAAATGCCCAAACCAAAGTTGAAATAATGCAAAAGCAAGCTGATGATTTCCATGCCCTGGCTGACCAAATAAAACATGATAATTCTAAGCGCATACACGCAAACTACACCACGAGGAAGGGAATTTTAACCAGTTTTGAAATGGTTGAGTTTGATCCTACTGCAACACCAGGAAGTGAAACTCAAACTAAACCTCCTAGAACCTCACAAGGTGATGGTTATTTAAGTAATTGTCATTTACAAAACTATGGCATGCTGAAGAAGGTCCACGATGAAAGTTGTACTGTTAATTTCATAGCTCCTGCATGGCTGACAACATAGTTTTTCGTTTACTTTTTTCAAGTTACATGCCCTGCAAACTCCACTCCAATTCATACCTAATTAATTATAAGAACGAGGTATGTTAAACTTGAATTCATAGACAGGAAAAACGATTTTGACTTTCGGCTTAGAGCCTCCATCAGAAAACGAGACAACAAGAATTGTAACACGTATCAGATGGAAGTAATTTTTTTTTTTTAGAGATTTCCTTTTTGTTGCTCGAAGTAGGATTACAGGAAGTGAAAGAATAAGTGAAGGCTCTAAGCCGAAACGTTAAAATCCTTTGCCCTGTCTATGAATTCAAGTTAAACATACCTTGATCTTATATTTCATTTACACAAATTGAATGGAGTCCAACAAGTATTATTTTTA